GCAAACGGGCGGGGCGCCTAACAGCCGCGGCACAACCGGGGGGTTCGGTGCCCAGCGGCCGCGACGGGTGCGCCCCCCGCCCCGGGGCGGACAGCGGCGGGCGCAGGCCTCGGGTTAGGGAGGGCTTTTATCCTGCTCTTTAAAAACTACATTTCTGCGATGCAGAAGTTCTTTTTAATAAAAATATTTGTGGAGACGAAGCGATAGGTGAGGGCACAGCCCAAGCGCGGTGGGTTCAGGGGCTCGGCCCCCGCCGCCCAGGCTGCAGGACAGCCGCGGCGCCAGCCCTTCGCCCAGCGATGGAGCAGAGGGGTGCCTCACTCCCTGAACGACTGCCGTCGCCACTTTGTAAGCTGTCAGCGTTCCCTGGCTTAAAGAAAAAGGAGAGTTTTGGCAGCGGGACTTTCTAAGCGTGTTTTCCTGGCAGCCAAAGGATCTCTACATATGTTCCATGCAAGTGTCATCAAAAGCTTCTCTCTTGCTTTCCGAGGCAAAACAGAACAACAAAAAAACTTGTTTTCTGGTGATTTTGTCAAGCAGGGGGATTAGCAGCATGCCAGAAGGAGTTGCAGTAGTGGTGTCATTAGCCGTGCCGGCCCAAACGAAGCAAGGTCTGGAGGAGGACGCGCTAGACAGCCTGATGCAACGGGGAAGAGAAGCCAACCGCCTCGGAGAGCAAGGAGAAACAAACAGCTGTTAACTTGTGATCCCTCTGATTCATGCCTGCAACGCGTTGCAAAACATCCCAGCAGCAGCGAGACTCTCCCTCTGCTTCTCATCGATACCAAGGATGACGGCTCACACCGGGCGGCCGTGCGCTCAGCCTGCCTCGGTGTAAATGCAACGTTCAAATCCGGCTTGGCCCCCGTGTGTCCGTGCTGAGGTGGCGGCCGGCGGCAGGCCCCCCGCACCGCGGGTTTGCCGGTGTTGGGGGGTGCCAGACTCGGCCCGAGGCGGGGCAGAGGCAGCCCTGCGACTGTGGCGGCGGCTGGAGGAGCTGGAAAACCTGCCTCCAGCACCCACCAGTGCTGGAGGTGCAGGCGGCCGGAATGCCTCTGCTGGGCTTTGGCTGGAAGCACTGCAGCATTGTCGTCCAAGTCATTTGACTTTCATGAGTCAGAGTATATTGCACAAAAACATCCTGCGAGGAGGGAACAGAGGATGAATTCCAGACACTGACCTTAGACAACAAACAAAACCCACTTTTTTCCCCTTGTTTTAGGGGAGAGGGGGAGGGGAGCTCTTCCACCGTGGACTGGATGCAGGCTGTGGATCGGGCTGAAACTTGGCATCTTGGTCTGCCGTCACTGCCGTTTATTCCCGATGCAGTAAAAAAGAAAGTTTCTTCGCCCTGCCAAAGGGCTCTGGGTTTACCCCCAAGAGCAGGCAAAGACCCTTCTGCCCCCCAAGATCCCCTGGCCGTGCTCTGGCGCCTTCCCCACCAACGCCGCCGTGCAGAGGTGACCACAGGCGGAGCGGCACGGCCACGAGCTGCGGCTGCTCACAGGAGGAGAAGACACGGAGAGCCAGTTTCCCGAGGGGAGATATTCATCCCTGAGGCCACAGATGCTTTCCGTGCGGGCAGCTGAGCTGGAAGCCGGTCAGCCTGGCCGTGAAAGCTTCCTCCCCAGCGCCAGCCCTCTGGGGCACGGCCGTGCTGTGAATGCCTGCGTTCAGCTGGCTGCGGAGGCAGCGCGCGTCGGCCGGATGAAAGAGCGGTCACCCTTCATCTCTGCCCGGACGCTGGGGTTTCTTTCAGCATTGGAAAACAGGAAACCGGGTCACGGCGTGGCCAGGCCAAGCGCCGACTCCTCCGTCTGCTGCCGCCGAACTGGGGACGTTCCTCAAAGGCGACTCTCCCAGCTGGGAGCGATCTGCTCGAATAAATAGGGCCGGCAGCCGCACGCTGTCCGGCCCATGCGAGCGAGCGCCGGCCGGGGCTTAGCTCCACTCGGGGTGCGCCGTTTAAATCGCCAGTGCAGAGTTAAGTATTGGGGATTTCTTCTTAGGCGGATTTTGCAGAGGTGTTTAAGGCGCAGCAAAGTAAAGCCTTGGCACACAGACTGCTTTTCTTTGTTTGAGGTGTCCAGGTGCCTAAACCTCTTGTAAAACCCCACAGCCAGCGCTTCTGCCCCTTGGAAACGGCAGCAGCCATCTCCCTGACGCTAGACCCGGGGCTCTGCCAGCACAATGCAGTGACTGTGCTTGGCATCGGCCTTCTGAGCCCGAATCCCACACTACTTGGCTCTACAAAGTGCTGCCTTTTGAATAGTCCTGCAGACGAGAAAAACTGCAAAGAGCAGAGCTCCGAGGAGAAGGGAGGAGGTTTGTTTTGTACCAGGCACCTTCTGCCAGCGCCCCACTTCCCGGGTTATGGAGGGGTTTCCGAGGACCATGGCTGGACCATCCTGCTGCTGAGCCGAGCGGCGGACGCAGCCTCTCCGGTGCCGAGCGTCCCTGCTCTCTCCGGCCGCGTGCAGTTCACCTCCAGCTTCCCGGAGCCTTCCCTTGCGTTTTCCCTCGCGCTGGCCCCTTTTCCCCTCGCCTCCCCTGCGCTTTCCAGCTCATAATCTCTGATCTTTTCTGAAGTGGAAAGTAAATCAGGGCCAAGTGCCAGACTGTCTCATTTTGAAGACTGATGTTCAAATAAAGGCTTTCCCATCCTATCTTAATACCGTCATTAAAGCACTGTCAGTAGAAATTTCTCACTCGGCGACATATGCGGGGGAGGAGCTCAAGTGGGAAAGGCCCTGAGTAAACACAGAATGATGGAAAATTATGTAAAACTGGCCCAAATGGGCTAATTAAATTTCCACTATCAAAGAACTGTTCTACCCTACCTGGTAACCGCAGGCACTTTTTGCAGGGTAAGGAGAAAAGCGGCGGGGGGGTTGCGTATTTAGCGCAGCGTCATTAGCGGTGCGTAGGTGGCGGGAGGAAGATGGATGACCGCAGAATGGGCAGCACGGGAAACGACCGCAAAAAAGTCAAGCGACCCCAGGCGATTTCCTCAGAAATTGTGCCGCGTGCCGGGGAACGCCGGCGCCCCGGGGACCTCCCGGTACAACGGCGGCAGGAAAGCTGTCCTGCAGGTGCAGCATCCCGTGTCTGCCGGCCGCGGTGACCGCCCGCGAGCCTCCCTGCTCCTCGGCGGAGCCTCAAGGAAACGTCTCAGCCTGAAGATTTCCACTCGTGGCGCTTACAAGTGCGGGAAGGATCTGGCAAACCGCTGAGCACCTCCGAGAGGCTATTCCCGTCCGGCTCTCGTTGGGGGACTGCCTCCCGTGCAGCTCCTCCGCCATCGATCCGGAGCCCTGCTGCCAGACCCGGCTCGACGTGCTTAGTGAGATTCACAGAATTTGAAAGAAAAATGTAAAAAAAAAATGCCCCTTTTCCAAACGCTGCGAATATAAGGGTAAATATCGTTTTATAATGGTCGATGTTCTTTTTAAAAGGCTGTGTCTGGCGAGTGCTGGATGTGTGAATCTAATATTCCTTCGCGTCTCCTGAAACGGACTACTTGGCGCTTGGGTATTCAGCTTCGTCGGCTAAATGTTTATGAACATAATTTGTTTTTTTTTTTAACTGATCACATAAGAATCGTTGCGTAGATGATTGGTGCTTGGCCACTCGCTTCGCAACATGCCTCTCTCTTACCGTGACTCCGGTTTCCGTCGAAGGGGAAGGTGAAGCCAGCCCTGCCCTGGGCTTTGAAACCAGACATGGGCTCCATCTCGAATCACAGCTCGCTCGGAAATGACACGGACTCCTCTGAAGATCAGTCTTTTTCTTTGTTTGACGCCCACGTTTTGGTGCCCGTGACAGTCATTTCCATCATCCTGTTTTTCTTGGGAGTCTCTGGGAATTTGATAACGATAGTAATTTTCAGACGCTCGCAGGAGATGAGGACGACAGTGAACATGTACCTGTCCAGCATGGCGCTGTCGGACACGCTGATTTTCCTTGGCCTGCCTGCCGACCTCTACCGCCTTTGGAAGTACAAGCCCTACATATTTGGGGATTTTCTCTGCAAGTTCTTCATTTACCTGAGCGAAACGTGCACGCACTGCACCATCCTGCACATCACCACGCTGAGCGTCGAGAGGTACTTTGCCATCTGCTTTCCCCTGAAAGCCAAAGCGACCATCACCAAGCGCCGGGTGAAACGGGTCATCCTGGCGCTGTGGGGCTGCTCCCTCCTGACCGCCGGCCCCATCCTCTTCCTCTTCGGGGTGGAACACCCCAACGGCAGCCTGCCCCAGGAGAGCCGGGAGTGCAGGTCCATCGAGCGCGTGGCCCGCACGGGGCTGCTCAAGACGATGACCTGGGTCTCCACCATTTATTTCTTCCTGCCGATGCTCTGCCTGACCCTGCTGTACGGACTCATCTGGAGGAAGCTCTGGCGGAGCGGGCAGCGGCTGCCGGGCCGCCGGGCTGCGGGCAGGAAAAGGTCCCACACACAGACTGTCAAAATGCTGGGTAAGAGCGGGTTAGAAACCCAGTCCGAAGAGCTGCCTTCTTTAATCGCTCCCGCGGGGTGTACAGCGATGCGGGGGATGACGGAGAGGAGGGACGAAACACACAGGTTCCCCATCAGTGGATTTACACTTGGTTTGTGTTCCTGGCTCTTTCTGGGAAGAAGGGGAGTCCCTGACTGCACGGTATTCAGGCTCGGGATGCTGCCGCGTGGCGGGGAAGCAGATCAGCGTGGCTTTTCGTTGTTTTGAGATCACGATCCTCATGTCCCTCCCCATCTCTGACTTTGTGGGGTTAAATTAAAGAAATTGGAACATTCTGTGACCTAAAGCCAGACCGGGTACTTCCCCTGCCGTGGCAAGGAAAGATTTTAAAGCCATTTCCCCTGCAAAATTTCTCAAGCTTAGTGACTGTGGCGTTGTCCAGGATGGCAACAACCCACCCGCCTGGGCTTACCTGAGCGTCATCTTTATCCCGTGCTATCGGTCCCTGTGCCTTGGTGCCGACACGGCAGCCAGGGGGGCTGGGGTCCCCTCCCCACCTCCCCGCCCCTCCGACCGCTCCCTCCCACGCCCCCCCCAAATCCTTCCCAGCAGGGAAGGCGCAAAAGCTCCCTCCCACGCCCCCCCGAAATCCTTCCCAGCAGGGAAGCAGCAGCACCCACGACTGGAGATCCCTTCAGTAAAACGTACCACAGCCGTGCCCCGGCTCTTTCCCGCCAGGTTTTACTTGCTTATCGCGTGCTCTGCTTTCCCGTCCTCTTCTTCAGGGCCTCCTGGTCCAGTTTGCTCCCCTTGTCCGCCCCTCCACTGCCCAGAGGGGCTCCCACCGCCCGTCTCCCTGCTCCTCCCCCTCCGACAGCCATCGCACGATGGATGCCAACGGCAACTCAAATTTTCAGGCCGAGAGCGGGCAGTAGCCCTTAATTTAAGTACAGGCTGCTTGGCCCCAGCTCGATTTGATTCCTTTATCTCTGCTGGACAACACGGGTGTAGAGAGCCCTATTTTAATTGCAAACAATTTAATTTTGTGTGCAACCTTGAGTCCTTATTGCTTGAGATGACCAGTAACCATCGCGCAAAAGCAGCTGGGGAAGGCAGGAGGCCTTGTCTTGCCAGGTTAAACTTAGCAAGCTCACGTCTCGGTCCTTGAATAGTTTAAAGAGGCAGAACAAACTCTGCTCAAGATGACTGACGCGTGCTCTCTTCCTCTTCAGCCGTCGTAGTCTTGGCCTTTGTGCTGTGCTGGCTCCCGTTCCACGTCGGCCGAATCCTCTTCGCCCAGAGCGAAGTCATCCTGTATGACCTCACGCAGTACTTCAACCTCATCGCCATGCTCCTCTTCTACCTCGGGGCTTCTATCAACCCCATACTTTACAACGTGATGTCGCACAAATACAGGGAAGCGATGAGCAGAATCCTGCACCACAAGCGAACGGGGCGCTGCAGGAGCCGGGCCAGGAGCCAGAAGGTTTCCTTTGAAGGTACGGGACTCGGGTCTTTCGCGTCAGCTGTTCAGCACTGACTTCATTCTCGCAACCCGAGCATTTTGCCAGCAGCGTTGCGGGTTAAAACCCGGGTAGATGGGGCACGTGGAGACTGGAACAAGGATTAAGGCTGTCCTTTTGGCCACTGTGGGTTTCCCGAGACAGGTTTGGGATGCTTTAGGAAGGCTGGAGTCACTTCAGGTTATTCCTGCACAGAGGGGCAGGCACGGGGGAGGCTGGGCTCTTCAGTGCGTTCCCAGCCAGCGTCAGGCTGAACCGTCCACAAAGCCCCTGTGAAGGCATTTGTCTGGTTTTGAGGACCAGACATTTTGTTAATCACAGCCCTGTGAAACATCATTCAAGTTACTTTCCTCCCACAGAGGCCAAGAGAGAGAAAGCGGAGGCTAGAGCCAGGCCAGCTGCTTGCTCTCAGCAAGTAAGTGCAAGAAACGCAATCTGTAAGGTACCTGAAAGGAAAGCGGTAAGACATGACTCATCTAGCGGGAGCGCGAGCGCATTGCCGCCTCCCTAGCGACTGCACGGGCTGGCCCAGCGCCCTCCCGGCCTCGCGTGACGGGGCTCCGTTTGGTCCCCAGGCTGAGGCAGCTCCTGGGAGAGGACAGCGCTGCGCTAAGGCTCCCACAAAGAACTTCTCTTCCAGAAAGGATTTTTAAGACAGCTCTTAATGACACTCAGTAACACGTTCCTTCCCCTTCAATTACATACTACACAAACGACGGCTCCTGCGGAAGGTTAAAATCCAGAAAAAAAAAGAAAAACACACAACCACCCTGTAGTCAAATTTGAATACATTTGTATTATTTATTGGCTGTATTAAATATATTATCTATTTGATAGTTACAATTTAGTAATACAATGCATGGCAGCTTTAACATAAGTTTGAGATACCTCAAAACGACAATACAAGGAAACTGAAGATACGTAATACATTAATGCCACGAGGGTCTATCGCTCTGGAATGGATAACGGCTGCTGTAAAATCTGTACTGCGGTAGGCTTTCGCGGGTATTTTCTGGAAACGCGACTACTTTGTGGCAATTACAAAAGAACTGTCGCTTTTTAGGAGTCATGACTTGTTAGTATTTACTCTGCAATCCTAATTTATCTTTAAAAATTATCAGAAATATTATTGCCAAATAAACCTCTAGAAACTTCGTTCTAAGAGTTAAAGAAATAACCCTTTGGCAACAGAGATTTGCGGAAGGCAGTCTTATTTGCTAAAAGTAGACTATGAAGAGAAATAAAGACAGATTGTAAACTCTTCTGCAAACTAAAGACTAATATCTGTATAAAACTCTTTCCAACACTGGAGGGAGAGATTTCTATGATATAATAAATGATTAACTTAAAGTTCTGCTACAAGTAGAACAATACATTCAAACATACATTTTCCAGGACTTTTAATCAAAATAAATAGAGTACAAAATGAAGAGTACATTTTGAAAAGATTAATTTCAGATTGCACCATAAATCTACTTTTAAAGAGTATTAAGCGATACTATGTCATAATTTAGGTTTTTCCATATCTGAAATACAACACAATGCCTCAAACTCTAACGCAACATTATTCATCAACTGCCATAGGAGAAAGACCCTTGAAGTGATTAATTACTGGAAATACTTCGCCTGTAGCACTTTCACACCCAACATTCCACGTCCAAGTGCATTGCTCTGATGTATATAAAGTGTAGCCGTAGTCTTTGCAAAATACGCTAAATCTACCTTTCCATGGCATATTCCAAATGCTGTCGGGAAGACCCATTCTGAAACACGGTCGCAATTTGTGAGTTGCAGCTTTCAAAGCGTTTGATATAAAGAAGAGAGCCGTCAGGCTCATCTTCCGGTACGCGCAAGCAGATTTAAACAAGAACAGTTGTATGTAGTGCACGGTGCCCACAAAAATCCCCCCCGGCCAAACAGGACGAGTTTCAGAACAGTTCATCGCAGGCTGAACATTCCCAGCTAGGAAACAATGGAATGTGAAGCTGCTACCCCTGGGATAGCGAGTCATGTAAAACATTGTACAAATGTTATCTAAAAAGAGTTCTTCCACGTACAATTTGATAACTCGGATGAAGTTAGAAGGGCATCCAAAAGCAGTTCGAACTTTTTATTTTTAGGTTAATAATAGTACAAAAACATTTGCTCAGTTTGAGCCAAATAGTGTAACATTTATCATAAATGCACTCTTTCTCCTTAAAGACAATACCTGTGCTTGTCTGAAAACACGGCAAAGATTTCATCGGCAGCACAGGAAATTACTTTTCTCTCAGGCACTGAGAGTGAAATGTGGATTGGGCCAAGAGCTGCTCACCAACAGCAGAAAGCATTTCATCCCGAAATGCGCAGTACGAAGGGGCCTTTTCTGCAGCGTTACATACGAACGCCTTCGCTGTACGTACGTTACCTCCTGCCACCGGTTTTGTCTAGCATTTTGATTAAAACTCTAAAAATGCCGGCACCCTCTACTTTAACACTTGCAATGATTATTACTGAATCCGAACTATTAAAATAACTGTAAAGTAGTAATATCGCTAAGTCAAAGTCAATATTCTGCCTTCCTTCTACAGTATATTAAATGTGGTATGCTCTAGTAATGTTCTGCAATACAGTACTGCTCTAAGCTTAAGCATTTGTGCTGCTGTATTTCATGTATACCAAACTACGATACCTGATTAAAGACTGCGGTCGCCTACCACTGCTCTAGTTGTACTTGAAAAGGACTTGTTGTAGCAACGCCT